TTCTGTCATTGGATGTGTACACTGGCTCTGATTTTCCCACCCGACACGCAGAAGGTTAAGCATTTAGAATCTCGTCTTCTGTTAGAAGTAGGCAAGCATCAAAGAAAAATGTACACACGCATTTGAAGTGTGCACATCTACCCTCAGTCTTTGGATCTTTAAGATTTTAACTCTGGGCCGTGTGTAAGTATATTTCAGCCTACTACACACGATAGACTGGCAGTCCCCACGAAACTATGGACTGAGCTCGGTGCAAAAGAGAAAGTTCTGAGGGAGGGGGAGGGGAGGAAAAAAGAGAAAGTCCTTTTTACCTTTCAAGTTCGTTGCATGGGCTGTAGTGGGGTTAGTCATTCCAGATGATAAAACATAATACTCGTTTTCCTAAGTAGGCGTGTTTTAGCTCTTTCTTAGATTGGAATGTGAACTTAATGTGTATAATACAGTCAATTCCTGAACTTAAAGTTTTTTGCATGTTTAATATTCCAGCCAGGTTTCAGTTTTTATGGCAGGAAGTACATGAATGGTTATGACAGGAGTAAATAACATTTGATTTTATGATTACAGTACAGGAAGTAACATTTCACACCAAATAAATCTTTGGGGAAAAAGTGCTGGCTCGTAAATTTAACGTACATAGGTTTTCCAGATTCTTGCATACAATCACCTTTGCTCTCTTAAATAGAACTAAATACCTGGCTGGTCTCCTTTTTTCTTTTCTTAACTTTTTTTGGTCAATAAATGTCTTTGTTTTAGAAAGAGGCACTAAGTGTTTTCATGTGACCCAACACAACATAAAACCATTAAAAGATTCTAAGCAAAAATAATAAGGCCAAATTTTAGTGTGAACAGCATGAAAGGCTTGAAAACTAAATAAAAACTTACTTTTTCCTTCAGAGTAAATAGGCTAGGCCTGGTAGTTCACTTTGTGAACCTGTGAACCAGTGCTGTGGGAGGCTGAGGTGAAAGGATTACTTGAATCCAGGGGTTCAAGACCAGCCTGGGCAACATAGCAAGACCCCTTCTCTACCAAAAAAAAAAAAATACCAAAATATCGTAGCCAGATGTGGTGGCACATACCTGTAGTCCCAACTACTCAGGAAGCTGGGGCAGGAGGATCACTTGAGCCCATGAGTTTGAGGCTGGAGTGAGCTATGATCGTGCCACTGCACTCCAGCCCGGGCAACAGAGCGAGACTCTGTCTTAAATGACCAAATCATTTTTCATATCAAAGCCCGGAAGCCTCCAAACTGCCTCTGAGGCAGGCTCCTTCCAGTGACTCCCGCAGCCATGATCTGCAGGCACTTGGGAGGAGCAGCCTGTGGACGTTGAAGAGGCTGTTCTTGTGAACAAGTTTATAGATTAAAGCAAAGAATCAGAACTTCAGTCACATTCATCATAAGCAGAACTTTAATAGAGGCTTTGTTTTTCCTTGAATAAAAAAGCAAATCGCAGGAAGAAAATATTTAGAAAAGACTTCTTTCTTCATCCTTTTCATCTTAAAGCCTGAAGATGTTGTAATGAGAAAAATACTGTAAGTGACATTGATTTCTGAAGGTCAGTATTACACACACATGAATTATGTGAACAAATGGATGGATGCCTGACAGAGTAAGATGTAGAGCTCCATCCAGATGCGTTCATAACCGCCTGTGGCTGTGACACAGTGGTGCATCATCGGGCTCGGAGTTAAAGGATGAAGGTTCAGACTTCAGCTCTGTGCCTGGGAGCCCCACTGAACCACCCCGACTGAAAACAGGATCTCTGAATCCCTTCTACCTCTAAAACTCAGAACCACACATTGTGTGCAAATAAGTAACTTGCAAATTACATGAAACTGTTTTAAGAGGATCAACAGAGTTACCACTGCTGAGTTGCCCTGAATCTTCATTAAATTTTTACAGAGAATATATCTGCATGTGACATGATTAAAAATCTGACTTGTGTTTTTATAGTCTTTGTAGGTTTTAAGGTAGCTTCCTACATGCTGTTTTCCTTGCTGCACAGCCAACCTGGGTGTTACTGGCAGACATGCTGAGGGCAGGCTCTGGAGTGTGGAGTCAAGGTCAAGCTTCCTGGCTCTGAATCCTGGCTCCACCACCTACTGATTGTGTAACCTGGGTGCATCCTTAACCTCCCTGGGCCTCAGTTTCCTTATCTGTAGGAAGAGGATAAAAATAGAACTTACCTCCAGGGCTGCTGGGAAGATTAAGCAGAATGAACAATGGGCAGCTCTTGGTAGCTTCCGAGCTGGCCCTGCATGTCAGTGTTCTGTTCTTGCTGATGATTAAACTGGCTTAGAGAGGTTGGGTGATATGCACCACAGCAAATCAGCAAAAAGATGAACCGGAACTTGAACACCGCCTTAAGACTTCCCAGTGGCTGGTGCCCTTCTGTTGCGAGACCATTCTCTCCCCTGCCTATAAAAGTGCCACGAAAGAGTGCGCTGCATTTCATTGTTTAAAAGAGAACTGAGTACATGTTGAACGTGAAGGACATTTGTCACGGGTTTTCCTTTGTTTGGAGAGGGTGGACTCTATAACACTTGAATGGTGTCCACAGCCTAGCGAGGAGCTGGCCAGCCTCCATGGTTTAATCACATTCTCAATATCCAGCCTTAGAAACAGCTCCCTTTAGGTCCCCAAATTAACAGGAGTTTCTAAAGGATGGCAGCTTTTTTTTGCAACTGCTGCGTCTGTTAGATTCATGTTCTCTCTGCTTCCCCCTACCCCCAGGCTGCTATTTCATGGTTTTTTTTGTTGTTTTGCTCTGCTTTTCCTCTTTTTAAAACTTCTGCATTGGCTGCCCAGGACTTAAGGGGAACTTTTCTGAAATGCCGTCTGAAGTAGGAACAAGTTACGCAGAAACACTGAGAGCTGTGAACTTGTGTGTATACCTGACATAGTGGGAGAGGGAAGCTCCCTTCTAAGTAAGAGAGAAGAGACGATACTCTAATCATTGAGTAGTGGTCAGGCCTGTAATCAGTGCTTATTCTTTTGCTGAGATCAGTATCAATGGGATTTTTTTAAATTGTAGATATTTACAATTGCTCTCTCCATGTAAAGGGTTTGTTTCTTTGACCCTATCAAAGAATACTCCTTTTTTTCTACTGAGGAGGTTCTTAAGGTCTCGTGGGCAGGGGCTAAGGAGATGACTATTATGGAGTGTAGTTGTTCTAAAATAAAAATTTACTTCCAATTATAGGTGTTTGTTATTTTTTTATTCACCCCCAATTTGGGCTGGGCCTGTAACCAGAGCGCTTTAGGAGATCAAAGTGGGAGAATCGCTAAAGGTCAGGAGTTAGAGACCACCCGGGGCAACACAGCAAGGTGTTGTCTCTACCAAAAAAAAAATTAACTGGGCGTGGTGGTGCTCACTTGTAGTTTCAGCTACTCTGGAGGCTGAGATGAAATGAAGTGAGACCCTATCTCTAAAATAAATGAAGTATATCAGGCAAATGATTTCCATATTTTTCTTTTTAAAATTTCAGTTTGGTAAAGATTATAAAAGCGTATCACATCCTAGGAAGTCCAGGCTTCTGTGAGCCAGGATCGCGCCACTGTGCTCCAGCCTGGGCAATAGGAGTGTCTCAGAAAAAAAAAAAAAAAAAAAAATCACAGTGAAAATTCCCTTCCAGAGTATAAATTGCAGATTATGTTTTTATATATTTTTTAAATATTTGTCTTGAGTGTCCAAAAATGTGAAATAAAAGAGTTGGGGTCTAAGTGGCAAAGTGCTGCCATGTTACAGGTTAAGGGCGTCCGTGTATTGTGCGATTAATACAGGTGTGGATTTGAGTGATTTGTTTTATCCTTCAGTGCCCATTAAGTAGAAGCTTGTATTTTCCTCCTTCCCCCTTCAAAGGCCCCCCTCCCCACCACGCAGGCACATGGAGGCCTCAAGTTGGAAGCACATTCACAGCCTGAAGCTGAAGGACAGGCTCTGAAAAATCTGTTCTTTGAGCAAAACGTCTTACTGATTTCAGAAAGTGAGCTTTGTCACCATTGATACTCTGTAAGGTGGGATCAAAGCAATTTTTCGTACTCACTTTGCCCAGTTGTCAAGAAATGCTTATAAATTAACAGGTTTGGCTATAGCCGAGAGAAATACAAAATGTCACATTTTAGCCTCAGTGGTCGGTTTTCAAAGAGTGCCGAGTGTGAACACAGTGTCGGCTGCTCTGTTAATGTGGCTGGGTCTCATAAATAGGTATTTTTCTATCCCCGTCATGGACAAATCTGAAAAAGTTTTTTCATCTCATAAGCTCAGGGGATGGCATTTAGAGGCTGATTTTCGGCATCTTAGTGCCTCGTCCGGAAGATGAATTCTGTATTTGAAATTTGGGGACAAACAAAAATAACTCTTTCTCTTTCCTTGAAGGGTTAATGCTCCAACCAGCCTCAGATTGGTTCGCTTGAATCTTAAAATTACTTTTCTGGTCACGCGCACTGAAGGTCTAAGCATTTGTGAAATGTCTTTTTTTCCCCCCCTCTTGATGCCGTTCTCTTTGGGCTGTCTTAATTACACAGGGGTTGAGAAACCAAATTAAAATTAGGCGTGTCTGGTCAACAGCGATCACGTTGCATGCTTTTAGCTGTGCTTGTTGAAGTTGCTTCTCTTCCCCGAGTGGCTTTCTTCCCCACTTTTTTTTAAAAAGGAAATATCATAAGCTCTTTCAGAAATACTCACAGGAAGTGAGTGTCCGTATGCTGGTTACTCACCAGCAACTGAGTGTTGGCAGGTGGAGAATGCTACCGCAGCCCGCCCAGACGGATCTGCAGACTGGCCCCATCGCAGAGGATTAGACGCAGGGTGCATGGATCATAGGGTTTTTGTATACGGAGGGGAGTTTTAAGAGGAAATTGGTCACTGCGTGTCATCTCGAGGGGTGGTGATTCAGGGAGCAGGGCTGGGGGTCAGAAGGCACGTGGCTGCCATCTCGGAGGCTCCTGCTCACTTTTCAGAGGGCAGGCTGGCTTCTAAAAATCAACTCCTCCACCCCCAAACAGCGATTCTTTTGCAGTGAATCACTTCCAGAAATGAATAGCCACAGTTTTTTGGAATGAACGTTGTGAAATCCCTCCTTTACAATGGCAGGTTTTCAGTTGGTGGTTTTATCAGAATTTCTCAAGATCAAAACGAAACCTTCTCTTTAAAAAGGAAAGAAAGTACTGTCGATATAGAAAGCAAAAGTATTTCCAGTCTCCTACTGAACTGTCACAGCAGACCTCTGTATCTCTGTTTAGAGATGTATGTCCATATATTTGCCCGAATGTGTGAGTTCTTGGAAGTATGGATTCATTACCAGGAGCTGGTGATTTCCTATGCAAAGGTCGCTAACTACAAGAACGGTTACACTCGGTGAGTAGGTGGTAGTTTCTGAAGATTATTGGTAACCCAATGTTGGTCGTCTTGAGTCATGGATTTAAAGGATGGCTAGCAAGCTCTTATAAACACTTCTGCTTTATCTGATACAGAGCATGGAACTGCAGGACTCACAGACAGTTGTGAAGGGTTTTTAAGAATATGAATTCTTCGAATAATCAGTGAATCTTTTGAATATACTAGACCTTTGGAGGAGGAAAGGGTGTTTTATAGAAGGAAGTGGTTTGTGGGGGCTTTTAAAGGTACAGTTACTGCTTTTCTATATTTATTTTCAGCATCATTCAGGTCCTCCTGTATGAAAGAAATAAATGGTCTCAACAGGGAAAAAGTTATGCTGACTCTTTAAATGAAGAAACTTGATCCTCTTGTCACTCTTAACTGGACTTTTTTCTTCCTAAATATTCATAAGGGAAACTATCCCATGAAGGCAGCTAACTTTCTGTCAATCTCCACAACGTGGCTCTTTCAGAGCCCGGTGGGGTCTCCATGCGTTATTGGCAGCACTGTTATCCAGGGGCCCAGACAGGGAATAGGGTTACTGGAAACAGGGAGTGGAGCTCAAGGAACTGTTCTCTCTCCGGAGTGGAGAAGATGTTTGACCTACTGACTCATTTCATAGGAATTAGGAAAACAACCTAGTGTGGTTTTTATTGTTAGTCCTGGAGGATTCCAAAATCTGTGTGTCTGCTAAATAAGATGAGCTGGCGAGAGGGAACGCTGGCATTTGGCATCTCTGCTTGCCTCTTCTCCTGATGGGAATCCAATCCTCTGCTTCCAGGACAAGTCCAGCCTGCGCTTGGGGATCCTTCGTACGACCGTTCAGTGGTGAGTAGGTATGACAGCATTTTCTGATTTCACTATTTCTTGCTTCTAAATGCCTAAATGGTGCTTCGTCTAGGGAAATGCTTTGAAGAGCATTTCCCCCAGTACATTTCTAATGCATTGCAAATTTACCTATAGGAAATACTGTGGATGTGCTAATGATTCTAAAAGACCACACATAGACGACAACGAAAGTTAAGGATTAAGATGTACACTGATAGATTTTTGCGGCATACTGACGTAAAGGCAGTTTTGGTTTTGACATACGTACACTAAAATGATATTTGTAATGCTATTTAAACACAAGTGTACACGGCACCAGTATATTCTAGAAAATATAATATAATTACCAACAGTCAATGAAAGGCATGTGCTTTGAGCTAGTAACAAAATGTAGAGAAACTTGTGATTCATGATGTTTTGGGTTTCGACCAATGTTATCAAATAAGCTAAAAGTATCAGAAGAGGACAAAGAAAGTATGTTGCAAAGTGGATAAAAGCAGAAACTGAGCAAAGATAGCTTTGATATTTAAAGTGTTAGGTTATGGCCTCTATATAATGTCATCTATGCCGGACTTCCCCCCCCCATCACACCCTCAAATTATGATCTTAATTATTCAAGAGATGTTTGGCATGTTGGTGGTATCGTGGTAAGCATAGCTGCCTTCCAAAAGATGCTGGGTGTATAATTACTATTGGATTTCTCATTCCCTTGGGAGATAGCTTAGTAGAAGGTTGAGTCAGGCATGCTGGTGCTGTTTATTCAGTGTGCTGCCCTGTGTCCGAATGCCCGAGAGGTAGAGTTGTTAACCTTTCCAGGGTGCTAGACCCCTTTCAGATTCTGATGGAAGCCATGAACCCTTTTCCAACACCTGTATGCAAACATTCGCCTGCCCTTTTACAGACCCAGAGACACGTGTCCATGTACCCACCATTAAGAACGCTGCCCTGGACTGACCCCTCGTGACGACTCTACTGTTCTTAAGCTTCCCAGGAAACACTGTTATTAAAAAGGAGGAGGCATCCAGGTCAAAAAGAAGTCATTGTGGTTGCTAGGTGGGGGTGCAGAGCCAAAGACGAAGGGTGGAGAAAATACATGACTAATACTAAATAAAGAGCATGGTTAATCCCAGAGCGTGCAGATAGCCCAGGGTCCTTCAACATTGAACCTGTGTGTATCTGTAAACTACGTTGTGAATTCAGGTAGAGAGCTGAAGACGCAACGTGAAGGACTTGGGAGGAGTTTTCCTACATACATTTGTCTATGGCTTTCGAACAATATAAAACTGTGAGGTCTCTTTTCATTTTTCCATTGTGTATGCTACCACATTAGGTGGGACTCAGAATCGTCTCAGCTCCAGAAGTGTAATTCATAACCATTAAAACAAAGCAGAAAAATGATTCTACATTAGCAGGAGTAATTTGATGGGGATAGATTTAAGATAGCATGGTTACATACAAAAGAAACATCATTTTTTAAAAATGCAGCCTTAATCACTCATCAGCTAAATTTAAGTCAATGCTGAGAGGCTGTTGTGGGAAAAGCAGTCATGATTCTTGGGTATATGAAAAGGAGTATGACATAGAGGGGTAAGAAAACAAGACTTAGTGTTCGTCAGACTCATCACGGCATTCTGTTGAGTCACACTTGAAAAAAGATTTGGGGCAATTGTGAAAAGCAACAGAAATCACACACCCTTCCAGGAAAACATAAAGTTAACTGAGGGTTTTATTCCACAGTGAACAGAGGCCGGAGGATTTCTTGCTAATGGCCTTTAGGTAGTAACAGTCTGGTTTGTACGTATATTCCGGGGCCTTGAACACTGCCTGGTGTTCAGTACTTGAAATGATTGTTGTGTTTAGTGATGTGAATAACACTCCTGTGATAGACTTCGCAGGAGTAAGTAGGTTCAAATAAAACCAGAGGTAGTGTCATGACAGATAGTATATAATACATAAATTTGCTAGGTGATTACAGATAAGGAAGCCTGTCCCACTTGTGAGGATGATATAATACTTTGGAAGCTACCAAATCTTGGTTTGATACCGCTTTCAAGATGAGAGCAGGATAGGTCTGCTGGGGCGGAAACATTTATTCATTCTACAAACCCTGAGGGCCTACCTGGCTGGGTGCTTGCAGTCTGGTAGAGGAGACAAAGATACAGAAACAGAATCACAGCATGTGATGAGTGCCATGGGAGCATGACAACAGCATGCTCAGGGCTTGGGACACTTAGCCGCCACCCCACACCACTTCTGATGGAGGGGAGGTCACAATTGACCCCAAGGGATAGGCTTGGCAGAGTTAGCTGGATGGGAGGCAGGTGGGGCAGCCTGACAAAGGCGCAGACCTGTGGGGGGGGGGCGGAAGGAGTGATGGGAGACTTGGCAGTCACTGTGAACACGGGTCTGAGTGCCACACCTTGCTTGCCTGAAGGTTTCTACCCGGGAGCCTTGACAGTCAGATGTGTGCTTCAGAAAGGCCAGATGGGCTGTAGTGAAGAGAGTGACTTGGAAGGGGCGGGGTGGGGGACAGGCCACCGAGGCAAGGAGGCCAAATGGAAAGCTTCGGTCAGGACGCATGTGGTGATGGACTGGGGGTAGAAACGAGGGATGATGATGCAGGCAGTGTGGCTGGGGTTACCACGTGGTATCAGCCACCACAAAATGCAGTCCAAGAGGAAGCCCAGGTTTGAGCAGGGACAGGTGGGGCCCAGGTGTGAGGTGACATTCAAACATGTCAGTACATAGAGACAGAGTCAGTGGAAGACACAGAGCCAAGGGGAAGTTGGCCGATGAGGATAAGGACTTGAGTGAAGACCTGTCTCCAAAGCAGGAGATGCTATTCCAATTTTTCATATGGTGGTTTTCATTTTACTCTGACTCATTTGTAATAAAACCCCTTTTATTTGTTTATTTTTCTATTATGTATATTTAAGGTGTCAACATGCTGGTTTGAGATACATGTACATAGCAAAATAATAACTTCCAGCTATGAGTGTACCATCTCACAGTTACCTTTTTGCGTATGTGTGTTAAGCCCACCTAAAATGTACCTAGAAATATTTAGAATTGGGCGTGATGGCTCATGCCTGTAATCCCAGCACTTTGGGAAGCTGAAGTGGGCAGATCACGAGGTCAAGAGATTGAAACCATCCTGCCCAGCATGGTGAAACCCTGTCTCTACTAAAAATACAAAACTTCTCCCGTCTCAGCCTCCTGAGTAGCTGGGCGTGGTGGCACACGCCTGTAGTCCTAGCTACTCAGGAGGCTGAGACAGGAGAATCGCCTGAACCCGGGAGGTGGAGGTTTCGGTGAGCCAAGACGACACCACTGTACTCCAGCCTGGCAGCAGAGCGAGACTCCATCTCCAAGGAAAGAAAAGAAATATTCAGTATGCAGTATAATCTTGGCTGTGGTCCTCATGCTGTACTTAGAATCTCTAGATTTATTCATCCCACCTCATTCCAGCTTTGTACCCTCTGACTCACATCTCCCCATCCCCCACCCCCCAACAACCACTGTCTGTTTCTGCGTACTGCGTTTTACTGTTTTCGAGTCCACATATTACCTCTGATCCTCAAAGCCCTATTAGTTCTGTATATTTCCTTCCAGTATTGTCCTACACACAATTTGCAGAATCAGCATAATTTTGTATAGGTACTTTTCTTTTTTTTTAAGATGGAGTTTCACTCTTGTTGCCCAAGCGGGAGTGCAGTGGTATAATCTTGGCTCACTGCAACCTCCACCTCCCAGGTTCAAGTGATTCTCCTGCCTCAGCCTCCCAATTAGCTGGGATTACAGGCATGCACCACCATGCCCAGTTTATTCTGTATTTTTAATAGAGATGGGGTTTCATCATGTTGGTCAGGCTGGTTTGAACTCCTGACCTCTGGTGATCCACCTGCCTCGGCCTCCCAAAGTGCTGGGATTACAGGTGTGAGCCACCTCGCCTGGCCTGTATAGGCGCTTTCTAACCCACTTTTAAAACAGGCATGTTCTCCTTATGCTTTAAAATATTTCTAATGGTGCTAATTCTGTAATTTGGGAGTGTCTAATTTGCTTCCAGTTTTTAAAAAAATTACTTTTATATTACAGCAATTAACCTTTCAAATACATGATTCTTGGGCATATTTTTGATGATTTCCTTGGGTGAGATTCCTTACAGTGAATTTTCTTGAGTAAAAGGAGGTTAACTGTAAGATTCTGTATATACCTTGCTAAATTGTTTTCTAGAAAACTTCAACCAAGTTTTCCACATTTTGGCAAAGTATGAAATGTCCTTCTCTCCATATATTCATCAGCACTGAGTAGTCTCTTTTTTTTTTAATCTTTAGACAAAAAGGTGACATTATTTTTGGTTCATCTACTCAGAAGCTATTTAATGAACGTTCACTCCTTGTCAGACACGTGGATGTTTTCATCTCTACCAATAACGTTGAACTTTGTTCATGTGTTTATCAGCCTGTTGTTTTCTTTTATAAATATTCTGTTCATGTCCATTATCAACTTTTCTATTGGGGTGTGACTGTTCCTATGATATAAGTGTGTGTGTGTGTGTGTGCCCACGCGCGCGTGCATGTTTGTGTCTGTCGGTCTTAAGATATTTGGGGCAAATACTTTTCCCAGCTTCTTTGACTTTTAGTTTTGCTTATGCTTTTTTGGAAATACAGAACCTTTATATTTTATTATTGTGATGGTGGTTTAAGTTCTTGGATAAATGTGCAGAGTGTGCAGGCTTGTTACATAGGTATACACGTGCCATTGTGGTTTGCTGCACCCATCAACCCATCGTCTACATTAGGTATTTCTCCTAAAGCTATCCTTCCCCAACAGACCCTGGTGTGTGATGTTCCCCTCCCTATGTCCACGTGTTCTCATTAGAACCTTTGTATTTTATGTAGCGGAGTAAGTGATTTTATCTGTTTTTTTTGTTTTTGTTTTTTCCTGTATAATTTGTTACCTTAGGCTTAGGAATTCCTTCTTACCCAGAAGTTAGAAAA